AGGGTTATAGTACAAATCATGAAGAAACAAATCAGGAGGCCTGGGTTCTGGTTCTTCCACTGCCACTTGCATATATAGACATAGGTAAACTCAATCTTTAGATCTCATTTCCTTGTCAACAGAATGGGACTGATTCTCAAGGCATAATTCCCAAGTACTATTGCAGTGCATTTCCCCTGTAAGTTGTTAAAATACATTAGGAACATGAAAAAGAAAGAATGAGAAATCCAATAGCATTTTTTACTAAATGTAAAACACYAGATCCAAACTTGACTTTATGCAATTTCAAAATAAAAGTATTACCTCAGCAAAATTAAAAAAGGGTTAGTCATAAAACCTAATAATACCTAAGCCATGATTGAGTTAATGTTTATATAAATAGATTGCAAGCTATAAACTACTATGCAAATATATCTGTGTCCACTTGTAAAAAGCAAGGTTTGGATTATTTGCCATTTAAGGAGCTTTCTCACTCTAACATTCTGGGATTCACAGTGTGGCCTGAGATGAGAATTAGTAGCATCAGTTCACATTTTCCTTAATAGCAATATTATGGTTTTTAGAAAAGGATCTGAAGGACTGGGGATACGGCTAGCATGAACAAGGCTCTGGGTTCAATTCTTAGTATGAAAGAAGGGTTGGGGAAGAAAGAGAAAGGAAGGAAGGAAGGGAGGGAGGGAGGGAGAGACAGAGGGAGGGAAGGAGGGACTGAGGGAGGGAAAGGAAAAGGAAAGAAACTGAATCCCAGGGATGCAATAGAAATAAAATGTATATGAAATTTCAAACTGTGAAGAAATTTGATCTAGAAAAGAATAGTTTTATTTGGCAGAGAGTGGGACCTATTTTTGCTAACATAAACAGGTTTCACAATATCAATTTGCTAAAATACTATTTTAATGAGAAAAGATACCCATTCAGGTTTTCTAAGTACAGTGAAGAAAATGTCAAGATGGTTGACTTTCCTCTTCTAACTATGGACAAAGTCAAACTACAGCTCTTATCGGAGAATGCCCCTCCTCCCCTAAGGAGTCCCAAAGGGTGGGTTTTTCTGTTGATTTAGAGAGTCAATAATTCAGTAAAGTCCCAAGTAAATGGCAAAACACAAGCTCAGATTGGGTTTTTGTATTCGTATTTTATAAACATTTCAGGATTTTTTTTTAATGACCCTTGGCCTTTTGCCATTCTTAAAGTGAAGATCTTATATCCTAGAAACTTGGTTAGAAACAAACTCAGGCTTGCCTCATCCAACTTCTTTTTCTATGTGGATCCTACTCTAAGCAATGCCTCTGGCAATATAATCTAGTAGTTAAATGGATTCTAACATTAGACTGCCTTGATACATGTTCTGATTCTACTCTTAATCACTTTGAGACCTTAAGCAAGTTATTTAATCTGCTGTATGACTCAATTTTCTCAACTGTAAAATAGGGGTAATTATTATACCTACTTCAGATAGCCTACCTCAGGGAATTGCTATGAAAATTAAATTATTGTATAAATGTAAATTGCTTCAAAGAATTCCTAGTACAAATACAAAATGAAAGCTCAGTAAATGTTAACTCTCATCATCATCTGCAAATATGCCCCTATTTGGATGCTTCTAGGGACAACAGAGGGTTCRCTTGCCCCTCCCCTCCTAAAAGCCTATCAACATGTAGCCGGGGACATTCTGGTTATCATGAGCTTTGGAGTCAGACAAACCTGAATATGAAACCTTATTCTCTCTGCACGTTGATATCTTAGTGTAGAATGGCAATATACCTTCTTCACTGGGCCATTGTGAGGGCTAGATAAGGTGCTATATATAAAGCATAAAGTACTCTGCATGTTTCCAGTTCCATGGGAGGTACTTATTAACAATAGTTGCTGCTGTGATGATAATGATTGAAGATCAAGAAGAAAATAAAGACGAGGAGAAAGAAGAAGGTAAAGAAAAAGTAGCTCTAGTAGCCACATCAGCTGCTGCTGCCATCTATTAAAAAGTTCTTTCTGTCTTGCTGAGTTCTGCCTCCCGGCAGTTTTACCTCACACTCCTAGCTCTGCCCACTGGAGCTGCACAGAACACATGACCCTATCTCCTTTCTGTCAGCCTGCAGATACTCATAGAGGGTGGCACAGCCTTCTCCCTGCACCTGTAGCAATGGCAGTGCTACCTCTTCCCTGTGCCCTCTCGAAACAGAGAGCTCCAGATCTTCAAATGTTTCTCAAGGGGTATAAATTTTTATATGTTTCTTACCAGGAGGTCCTTCCTGGAATATTCCATGCCTTCTTGAAAGGAGCCCAGAGCACTGCAAGATGGTTTCACACTCTGGCCACTATTTTGTTCAGGAGAAGAATAGTGTGCTCCATCCCCTAGTTTCACCTCAGTCACTTTGTTCAAGCCAGGTAACTGAAAGTGGAAACAGAAATTGCCCTTGTTTACTTTGAAATTTTTGTCTAAATGACCTTCAGAGGGAGGAAAAAATTGCTTTAGCTGGGGCACCAGAGGGAGTGCCCCAGCAGAGCCATGTTCACTTGGAAGCAATCCATTGGATAGCCCCACTGAAACGACAGAAGGAATCTCAGAGATCAAGACATTAGTCAGTCAGGGAAAGGGTAGCATTCCTGCTGGGCAGTGGGGTAGAAACAAGAAAGGCAGCCTGGTTCCTGGCTCCGAGAGTCTTCGGGGATGAAGTTCCAGCTTTGTAGTTGGAGAAAACAGAGCCTCTACTCAAGGAATACCTCATCCAGTAATGACTATCACCTACTGAACACTTCCTGACTCAGTATTGTACCAGAGTCTTTTCCATTTAACATTATAACCTAAAAAGGAGCAATTACAATTCCCATTTTACAGGTTGGTAAATGGTCTCATGTTGAATAACTTCTTCAAGGTCATATAGGTATAGTAAATGACAGAGCTAGGATTTGAATCTAAGTTTGCTTTCAACCTCATAGATTTCTTTCTAACTACATGACCTTAAATAAGTGGCACCACCTTGATCCTCAGTTGTCTCATCTCCACAGTCTTGCATGGTGGTCATATGGACTAAATGAGATAACATACTTGAGATGTTCAAGAAACTTTTGTTTCTTCCTTTCCAAATCCCAGCTTTCCCATTTAAGAAAATCGCTTAACTTTTCTTGGACACTGTTTTTCATTTGAAAACCAATTGCAGTTTATCAGTCTCTAACCTTGCATGTTGACAACCCCAGCAGGATGCAACACAGGCCTGATGCTCCAGCCTCCTAGCTTCTTTTTCTTTCCAGCACATTTTCCTGCCTATACTCACAGCTCTAGCACTGTTATGGTTTTTGGCTTTTTCCAGCAAACATCATATTTACAAACTACAAATAACAAAGTAGAAGATGCCGAAAGAGAGCTCTGGCATGTTAATTAAGAACAATAGCAGAAGCAGCTGGGCAGAAAATGCCAAAGAGTCAGAAGCAGAAGCAGCATAGCTGTTTGTTGACAGAAGCCAATGCAGCATTGTACGTTAATGGGGGAAGTGGGTAAACATTTGCCTGCAGCTTGCCCCCCAGTGCATTGGAAGACAGACAGCAGGACAGGCCCTCCCCACCACCTTGCCTGCCCATCTGCCCATAACCCAAGAGATACTAGTAGAACATGCTTTGCCCTGAGTTTTATAAACAGAGAGGATTCTAGGGGTGAATGTGTCTCCTTAATGATCCTCCTGGGCATACCAGGTTTCCATCTGGATACAGTCAAAGATAGTATTCCCCATTCAGCTTGCCGGTCTCCCTGTGACACCAGCCTTGGCCCCCAGGGGCTCCCCTTCTCTCTAGCCARAAGCCAGCAGAGTCATCTCATTAGGAGTGGCTTGAGTTGAGCAGAAGACTAGATTGCCTGCCTCAGGTGCTGGAGTCTTTGCCCGTGGGCCCAGAGCTCCTGTATGTAACAGCAACAGCTTCAGCCCTGACTAGAGACTGCCTGGCCTTCTGTCACACACACTCCCAGCTGCCCATTTGCCTGTGTGTCCATCCATGCTTTACAGTTGCTGTAACACACAGCAGCCATTCTTGACACCTGCTCTGTGCCAGACACTGTGCTAATTATATGTTTTTTCTCATTTAATCCTCACATCAGTCCTGTGATACTAACTCCAAAGACACAAAGCTGATAACCAGCACAGCTGTGATTTATACCAGTCTTTTAATTCCAAAACCTATGTCTTCCTTCCTGTACCAGTATTTCTTAACTTTCTAAAATTCATGATCCTTTTTGATAAACATGAAAATTTTGTTTCTCAGATTCAAAAACCCATCATGTCCTGTCCCTGCCATTGGACCAGATGGGCATACACCTAATTTAGGATTCCTGTATCAGTAGCAAATCCCCTGGTGCCAATATTTCATCTAGCTTTACTTATTTTTAATAGTCCATTTTTTAATTTCTAAAAATTTAAAATTGAATTATGATGTTGACTTATTTTTTTTTCAATCTATATATATATCCCCAAAAAGGAGATTGTGGTATGCCTCACCATGGAGATAATGGTATGCCTCACCAGGGAGATAATCATCCTCAGGTCTTTAGAATGACCATTTGCAGTTTACTATGCCTAGTTTTAGTGGGAAGAAGGTTGTCTCACCAAGCACAACAGGCCCTCTCTCAGGCCCTCTCATCAGGATTTAACCAAGCAGAGGTCCCCAGGAGCATCAGTCAGCTGTTTAAACAGAATCCTTTCTGAGGGCACAGGAGATGAGGGACTTGTCTAAGAAGAAGTTGCATCTCCAGAACCTTATGACTTGAGGTCCTCCACAAAACTAAAATCTGTAACTTGACCTTTCTGAGAGCTCTGTGTTCCTCATCTGAAGTAAGAATAACAACACCTACATTACAGGGTTATTTTGAAAATCAAATAAGATATCATGAATATAGCCATGCCAGTACATAGTAGGGCTCAAAGTAAATGTGCATAGGTAAACTTAATGCCATGTGGAGAAAATTGTACTGGTTCCAGCCTTTTGAATATGTTTTTTTTTTTTTTTCTTTTCAGGTAACTCAGCTGGACCCCAATAAATCACTATTGGAGGTAAAATTGTTCCCTCAAGAAACCCTTTTCCTTGAAGCAAAAGAGTAAACACAGCTCAGCGGTGGAACCAGCCTTTCCTTGACAAGCCAGAGGCCTGTGTCAAGAGATGGGCTCCTCGCCAACCCACCCACACGCTCGTCTCACTCAATTCAATGTCACACTTCTGCCTCTTGCAAGATTGCTGGAAAAAAAAAAAGTAATAATAAACATAGCTACTTAAAATTTCCCATCCATGAGTATATGTTCCCAGCCCTTATTCCAGAGAATTGCAACTCTGCCACCCTCCCCTATCCCCTGCACTTCACCCTTGTTCAATGACTAATGTACTGTTCAAGTGTGAGTGATCACTAGTAGAATTTTTACCTCTCCAGTGCCTATTTTTTCCCCACAGTGTCAAGGACAGTTCTGTCTGTCCTGTGACACCAGGATACTGTGTATTTGATATGTCTCATTGAGCCAAGACTCACACCTCTGCCTTTTTATTTTCATGACTGGATTTCTACTTTGTCACCTACTTTTAAGAGGCAGGGAGGGAGTCAAATGGGACATTCTTGGCATGGAGATTAAACGTTGTAGGAAAAAAAATGTATATCATTTTTGTTGGTACTTTCTGACTTCTTTACTGAGATAAAAGGTTTTGTTTGAGGATTGGTTTGACATATATGCAAGATATTTATTCACTGCTGCTGCCTTGGGTCTCCAGGTTCCATCTAGGAGCCAAATGGGAAATTGTTCAAGTATACATGTGAATGTTGAAATAGTGTACAGAGGGGACTACTACCCAGACTTTGGTATCTGGCTCAGCTGTGGGAAGCTGCTGTTGGGTTTGGATTTGGGCAGTAAGGACCCCATAGATACCAACTCCCACATTGCTGGTCCATCAGTATACACTGAGCACAGTTCTCTCTTGCTCTTGTCTCCCTCTACTTCTTCAAGCATTCAAACCTTATCACCTGGTGTTTTAAGCACCTTTTCTATTGCCAAAATCTGACCGGCTATCCCTCCAGCTCTCCTACATTARAGAACTTGCTCTGCTATTTCACTATTTTAACATTAGATATTGAAAGGAGCAAATCTGGGGGCTCAGCCCAGAAGACACATGTTACCTGAATCCACATGTAATAATTTGGGGTTTGATTTAGTAATTGTGGATTTTGCTAACTATGGATTTGGGGTTTGGAGTAATTCATGGAACACTGTTTATATACCTTCACAGCCAATGATTTCCTTTTGGTCTTGGAATATTCTCCATAGCTGTTTTTGTGTCACCTGTTGTCTTTATCCTAGGGTTTGAGATCCCAATTTTTACGTTTTTTACTTGAGCAAAAGAGAACGTAAGAGCTTAAGTTTATTCCCCTGACTCTGGCAAGGGGTTCTCAGAAGACTCTAACCAAAACTGGAGATATGCCTAGTTAGTTTCCCTCTGACCAGAAGTGTGTGTAGGCCAAGAAAGTCCCACCTTGTGTATTTTCTCTGATATTCCACTAGGGACTTCCCCTGAAAACTCTCTTAAAAAGAGATGTGTTCCTAACTGACTACTCTTTATCTGCCTATATGTGGACCTTCTCTGGCTCCAGGGAGACTGAAAGGGAGACCCACCGTAGGGGGAGTTCAAGCTGAGTACTTTGTCTCCAGCTCCACTCCTTCCTTCTAAATCTAGTGACTCTACCACACAGTCATTCTTGGTGCTACAGACCCACCAGGGCAACAGCTCTTTTCCCAGGTGGACCTTGTTCTGTAGCTGCTGTGGAGAAGTGGCAGCCTGAACTCAGGCCATACTCAGGAACAGCAGCCAGAGTGTAGGTAAGTGTTTAAGAGAAGGGTCTCTGAATTCACCTTCATGCTTAATTAACCTTTCCTGTCATTCCCCTTCAATTCTGTATCCCAACAATATAGACTTTACTCTGAAACCAATTTTATAAAAGTTATTAAATGTTACATGAATGTGTGAAGTTGATATGCCCTTTTCAATCCTGTCTTGGAAAGTTCTCAGTCTACCCAGCCCCATGAACTCCCTGTCCTCTAGGCCCTCAGCTAATTGTCACTGTTCACTTGTAACCTTCTGGTCTACTGAGCTCCAGAACAGGAGGCCAAAGCAATTTTATACCTTTTCATGCAAACACAACATTAAAATGACTTTGTTCTCACCATAGATTCAGCGGTATCCTTTTGAGTTATCACCCCCTACTCTTAATCTTTCTGGTCCTGTACATCTCAGCCTTCAGATGCAGCAAGCCAATCAGAATATTTGTTGGGCATTCTTTGCCCAGCTGTTTCCAGTAAACTGCAGGGCTCCTTGTCATCCCTCCATTCCAGTTCACTCCCTTGTGTTCTTGGATTATCAGTTGTGTATTTGGAGAACTAGTTTGAAAGTTTAAGGAAGTATTACCAATTTCCCATTGCTTTCAGAAGGTGCAGTTTGTTTTTTTGTTTGTTTGTTTGTTTGTTTTGTGTGTGTGTGTGCATTGGCACTTTTGGTTTTAAGTGATTTGCAGATGTTAATCTCAATGGTAAGCAACCAACATCTCCGTTGAAAAAAGAGCACTTTTATGGAATTTTTGTAATATAGGAGAATGAAAAATATTTATAGAATTTACTTACTGGTGCCATTTAAAACTTCAAATACATTTGTAGTTGCATTAAAATTCCTACTTCCAGAAGCTAGATGTACTGACCTGTGTGTGCTGGTCAATGGGATGGACTTTTACAAGATTACAGAGCTCTAGCAGATGTCCTCCCAAGCATGGAAGTTTCATGTGGATGTAGGAGAGGGTCTCCATTAGCAGCATTACTGATTGACACATTTAAAACCATCCCTGTTAGCCTCTCAACTACCCAGTCCTAGACCCCCCAGGTGGATGGGACATGGGAGTTCTAAATTTAGTCCAAGAGTAACTCACCTAGACATTGTACTTTACAGTGTAAATAATCCTTCCATATGCATTTAATCATTTGAATTTTTTTAAAAAAAAATATTGAAGGAAGAGAAGTTTTCACAAACACACACATCAGAGACTTTGGTGTCTTCTGATTTGAACCATCATTTGTTATTTAGTAGCTGTGTGACCATAAGGTGAGTAACTTCTGAACCTCAGTATCCTGGCAGTGTGCAGATAGCACTTGGCAATTTATCTCACCTCCCACACTCATCACTACTGTCTGCCTCTGTGAGGAAGGAGAGGTGACCATTCCATTTTTGCACATAGACCCYGAAGGGTTGTGACTGGCCTAAAGTTGCACATCATGTCAACAGAAGAGTCAGAACTCAAGCCCTGGCCTTTGATTTTCCGCTGCACTTCTATAAAGAGTCTCTAAATTTCATGCCAAGAATGAGTCTTGGAATCTTCTACTATTTATACAAAAAGTTATAGGTTTGTTTGTTTATTTGTTTATTGGTATGGGGGATTGAACCCAGGGATTCTTTACCACTGAGCTACATCCACAGCCCTTTTTGGTTTTTATTTTGAGACAGGGTCTCACTAAGTTGCTGAGGCTGGCCTTGAACTTGCAATCCTCCTGTCTCAGCCTCCTGGGCATGATTACAGGAGTGTTAGTTAGTTCTATTTTTCTGGAAAGAGAATCTGCACTCATCAGATTCTGAGTGGGATCTGTTGGCMAAAAAAAAGAAATTGAAGAACCACCATTCACATCATACAAACATTAGAATATTCTGGAAAYTGAAACTGTATATCCTATTTATCAAGCCATATTATCTAAAATTCCCAAAGAGGGTGAAGTATAATCCATAGGCTTTATTCCCTTGAACCTCCCTTCTCATCTAATACTTTTCCCTTTTCTCACATAATCTGCTTTAGAAGATGAACCTTAACAACCCCTCTCTGCTGCATTTTGGAAGTTTAATCTGCAAGGAAAGAGACTTGATCTCCACCATTCCATCTCTTAATTCTTCTTAACATTCTCTGTTAGTTACAGTTCTTGATTTTGGGAGTGGCCAAGAGCACAGCCTCTGGGTCCAAGCCATTCCTCAACTTAGTGGCAGTGTGACCTGAGGAAGTCACTTTACCTGAGTGGGTAGTAACAGCAGTGAGAAGTGGCAGTTTGTGGGAGAGGACACAAAACCAGGAGAGTAGGAAAAAACTACTCCAGACTCTAGGGAAGGGACCAAGAGCCTCTCTGGGCACTTAGGATGTGCCCAGTACTGTGCTCAGCATTACAGACCTTTCCTCAGGTAGCCTCACAACAGCCCTTGAGGTGGGTGTTCTTGATCCCCTTTAGAAGWGGCAACAGGCTCAAAGGTGAAGCAATTAACCACAATAAAGAACAGGGACAATTCTGACCTAGACTTCTTACTCCAAAGCCCCTGCTATGTTCATGACAATGAAGTGCTGCCTTCGTGGAAAGCATAGCATTACCAAGGCATTATAACAGTAGTGACATAAAATGTTGGTGAATACTAAGAGAAGTAAAGACAACTCCAAATGACCCATTCCCCAAGAGTTCTTATAACTACTTTTATATAGAATGTATCAGGAGCCAAAACGTAAGGAACACCTTTTATTTTAAGTGCGTGTAATAATTTTAAGACATCTCCAAAATCCATCCCCTGCTCCTCCCTGACTTATCTAACTGCTGTTTTTTCCTTCAGATCTTTATCATCTCAGTAGGATTACAAAATCACGTTGTGATTGATCTTCATTTCTCCAGCATTTTCTAATACTAGACCGGTCTCCACACCACTTCCATAAAGGRCTCTAACATACCTGCCCCACCATGTCCCCACCTGCTTTGATCCTCTTGAAGGTTTCCTTTTACCTTCCAAATAACACCCAAATTTTTGACTTGGATTTCAACCCCTTAGACTGAAACACTTGACCCCTCCCTCCCTTCTAGCCATATACTCAACACAAGCAGCCTGCAATTTCCAGAACATTCTAGCTCTTTTGTCATCTTTGGCCTTTGCACTGATTTCCTCTGCCCTCATAGACTTCAACTATCCATCCATCCACCCATCCTGCGCTTTAATTTTAGACTTCCACTGCTCCAAGATGTTTTCTTTACCATTGTCACACCCCCTCACACCCTCCAGCCCTGGGAATCTTCAGCCATGGTGCTGCTCTTTCCATAGTGTTGCATCTCTCTGAACTATAACTCTTATCATCCCTAATGTTCTTCCTCCCTTGACCCAGGCTGTTAGCTCCTGAAAGGGTCTGAGTCATTTCACATTATCAAGCCTAGTTGAATGACTAGTACAAAATAAGCACATAGTAAATTTGAATATATTAACTGAATTTGAATGATATTGGTATCCAAGTACTTTAATAAGATGGTCACTTCACTCTCCAACTTATCTGGGACCATTGAAAGGACAAAAACAAGATCTTAATCATCTGTTTATTTCCAAAGCCAGCCCAGGGTCTGGCACATAGTAGTTGTACACTCAGTAGTTACTGAAGCAGTTAAATTGATTGAAGCTGGAACAAAATCAACTGGAGCTGCTGAGGAAAGAACAAAAGGAATTGGTGYTGAGTTCCTAGGTAAGCCCAGCACCATGCTATGGGCTTTATTTTGTCTGTCTACCATCCCACCCTCAGAATTACTCTCTGAGGTAGGCACTAATATTATTCTTATTTTGCAGTTAAGAAACCAGATTCTGAGAGAGAAGTCACTGTTTCAGACACATTGCTAGTAGGGAGACAAACTAGGCTTCTTCAGATCTGCACCCAACCTCATGCCTACTCCCCTTCATTCATGGGGCCCCACCCTGAGCAGCTTCATCAAGTGTAACTTCTAACCCACAAGTCATAGACAGTAATAAACATTCTCACATATTTCCCTTTGCCTTCTAGGATACTGTACTCCAGTTTTCCTTCTACTTCTGTGAAAGATCCTTCTGTCTCCATGCAGGGTTTATCTACCCTGCCTGACTGCTACATATCAAAAGTCCCTGAGTTCCTTCTTAAGCCCTCTGCTTTTCTTTCAAACTCTTGGATATGAGACAATTTACACCCAAGACTCAAGAGTTTGCTTAAGGCATAAACTCCATGAGAGTACAGTCAATCTGATTTGTCCTTTTATCACTCAGCACAGACCTGGCATTGCATAGACGCTTTATGAATACTTGTTGATAAGAGAATGAACACTTAAGTTTATTATATGCCAGAACTAAAGGATTATTTGTATTAACTAGTTTACTCCCCCACAAACTTATGAAGTAGGAGCTATTGTTTTCCTCACTTGGTTGCTGAGCAAACTGAAGCACAGAGATTAGGTAATTTGCTCAAGGTCACACAGCTAGGAAACCAAGGAGCCAGGAATCAAACAGGCCATTTGGCTCCAGTGTTGCATGGTCTCTGGGCCATGCAAATYCACCAGGCCAGAACCACTACACTGCAATACTCCAAGAACCTCCTGGAATCTCCAATACACATTAAGAACCTCTTCTAGTCCTTGTGTTTTCACGTTATGGTGATTATTTGCACAAGTCTCCCCCACTGGACCATGAGAGATTACCTCACCACCACTAAGGGATCTGGTACAGGGCACAGATAACAAACGTTATTGTGAATGAATGAACTACAGAACTACCATGTGAAGTGGAATGTAACATCCATATTTCATACGTTGATAAACTTAGGTTTAAGAGAGGCTGAGTCCTTTGTCCAAAGTCTCATAGCTACTTTATTACCTACTCATGACCCATACTTGGGCCTCTCTCCAAAGCAAATTTTTTAATCATGTTTTCAAGTAGACCAGCATTTAATTTTTACTATTTAAATGACCTCTGCCTTATAGAGATCAGGTTAGCTTTGACTCATCCACTCATGCTTGAGCCTCTTGTTAAACATGATTCTCAGCCCCTACCCTTGACCCAGAACTCCCAAACCCAGTGGGGCAGCCAATTTCAGGGCAGTACTGGAGGAGTTTCCAGTCTCAGTTCCCCAGTCTTGGGGACAAAAAGGCCTCCAGAGAGAGGTAAGGCCCATCTGGGAGCTCTAACTAGAGTCCCCTCAGTAATAAATGGGCCTGCCAAGCCTGACAGTCTAAGATCCCAGAATTAGAAAAGGGAGGTATCTTACATTAGAATGGAGCCTGCCTTCTGGGCTCAGTTCTCTGAGCCCAGCAAATGTTGTCTTCCTTGGGCATGCACTAATAACATTCATATAGACTTTTCTGAGGAGTTAGCAAC